GTATATAGAGAGAGTCAGTCTCAATGTCTGAGAGGATAGGAAGTGCCTGACGTTAAAAAGGATGCTAGTTTCTTTCGTTACTCATAATATGGTTACCGATGTTTTTTTTTTTTTCACGTGATCGAGAGGGCTCCGAGTACAAGAATTCATATTTTAAAAACAGCAAAAGAGGCATCATACATACGACTTTTTCATGGCAGATATGAAAACTAAAACAAAACTGAATGCAAGGCTGACACTATGGCAAATGGCTGATTTATTTGGGGCCAATATATTTCAGCTAACAAAATTAGCCTTCCTCAGGGCCAGAGAAATAGGCCCTTTACCATATTGCCAGCCTTGCATTCAGTTTTGTTTTAATTCCCACTTCAAGTGAGTCTGGTTCTGGCATCTCTACATTAGAGATCCGGCAAGAAAGAACAAGCGGGTTTTATTTAAGTGTTGAGTTGACCTCTGCATTCAAAGGTTTTTTGAAAACTAAGCTACGGGTTGAGAAAATGCTATTAGGGTGAATGTCGTCTGAACAGTTTTGGGCGAAGATTTCGAAAATCCATTTCATAGCTTTTAAATGTAGTCACAACGCTTGCCTGTCTCAACTGAGAATGTTGATCTTTATCTCATGGTTCGTCCGAGAGCATAAACCGTCAAGAGCTTGTTTCCGTCAAAACACTTAAAACTTTCCGGATCTTCTTATCCAACAATCAATAGATATATCCAATTTTCCACTATACCCCAAACTTACGTCACTCATAATTAAAGGTACCACTGAAAAATAGTTTTACGGAAACGGAAATGAAGTCTTTAGAGGTGTATCTTTTACAAGAGTGTCAATTGTTCCAATGCGTCCTCTAAATAATTTTAAAAAGTTTTGCTTTCTGCAGTGCCTCTTCCACAGGCTTTTCCGTGGTTTATTGGGGAGCACTGAACAAGCGAGAAGCACGAAGAGCTGGAGACGAGCGAGAAGCGCCAGAGGGGATGATGGGAGCGAGCACTTTCCTTGATAAATCTATTAGGGAGCTAAGCAAAGACACACGTCAACCGGAAATGAGCTCTTTCCTTATCTAACATGCCTTGACGCTACCAAATTTGCACTGCTAAGTTTCTTTCCTCTTATACGGAAAATTTGCCCTAAAAGCTCGGCACAATCTCCGCCCAAGAATGCAACAAGTCCTCCTTCCGGATGACGTTTTTGTTGACTAAAATATCGCCTAAAAAGTGATCACAAGCGACTGGGGACGAGGCAGCTTCCTGCATGTAAATCTGGGAAGTGTGGATAAATTCAATCACAAAATTAGAAAATACTGCATGCAGCCGAGGATCATTGGCTAGGGTAAGCTCTTTTTGGATCAGACCACTTCGCCAATTAGATTAGACGATGGTTATTACAATCCCTCTTAAGAGACTGGCTCTCTTCTCCAATTCTTTCCATTTCTTTTCTCTTAACTCAAGCTTAGCTTTGAAGAACTTGCTTTAACGCAATGCGGCGGAATGACAGAGATAACTTAGTACAGACCAGCCCCTCCCACTGATCCCTACCCACATCCCCATGACAGACAGATCTACTTCTATAATACGGCTGCCGGTCATTTAGGTGTTCGTATAGGCGATATATTTAACAAAATAAACTAAAAAGAGTTGTTAAAAGTAGTTAAAAGTAGAAGGCAAGAGCATTGATAGCAATAGTTTTCTGTGTTTTTTTTGATTTTGGATGTTTTTTTTGCAAAAACCGTGAGATTTGATCTAACGAAACATTACCTATCAGTCTGTCCTAGGAGGGGTAAGCTTAGTTTGCTGAAATTCAGAGTGACTGCAATCTGACTTCTCTCAAAGTCTAGACAAGTGTTATGTTACACAAACTAGAAGAAACCCTTTTCTTGTTAAGTTTAAAAAGCATACCAATCATGACTGCCGCTTACAAGCTTTCAGCATAATTATTGAGGTATATTTTCACGAACCGCCACGCCCCTCGTTCTACCAAGTATTAAGACACATTATGAGCAAAAAATGACTTCCGCTCTCATTTATTTTTTGGAGAGGGGTCGTATATTACATGGGTTGCAGTATTGCTCTCTTTTTATTGTTGTAATAGGAAAAAGAAAATGTTTAAGGGGTTTTATTCTTCAAATCTTCCAAAGCAAGGATGTCACTGCTTTTCAAACGACTGTTCTCAGGTCATTAAAGTCGGGTAAGAGGCCTGGCCCATTAATCCGCGTCAATAATGATCAATTAAGAGCGATTTCTGAGGCAATCGTCATATCTGCATTTCATGATAAACATCGGCAAGAATCAACGAGAACTTTATCATTAAAGGCAGAACTTGAGCCAGCTAAATGGTAAACAGATCACATATAAACCAGTATTTTTCAGTCTAAAGTAACAATTATTGCCAAATGTAAATAATTTATTTGCTCGTTTGCTTCACTCGCAAATTCGTGAAGGATGATGGTGCGTTTGGTGAGTTACTCCAGAGGCCGAAATCGAGTCCTAAATGGTTCGTTTCCTATAAGCGGGTAATAAAATACGAGTCGGACTATGTATAAGAAAGATAGATGAATTCAAGAAGTTAAAGATACCTCTTCACAATCTACTTGAAAGAGATCGTCGCGTTTTGTAAACAAATCAGACATATTGTTTGCATTTTACTTTCTATGAATCATTTTAGTTCGATTGTAATGAAATCTAAGAAGTGTTTCTTTGGAATTAAAAAAAGAAAGAAAAAGGTTATCTCCGCTTTTGAAATCGCAAGAATTTAAAGTTCGGCCACGAAGCAATTTGTTCCTTAAGTTCAGGAATATTCAACTGTGTCATCGTAAAAAAGGAGCAAAAGAAAATGGCCGCCGCGGAATGCGTTTTTTATTAAAGAGCCATAAGAGCGGAGATCACTTTACTGTAACAAGAACAGCTATTCAGAAAGCACTCTTAAAGGAAGATCAAACTTGAATTTGCTTCCTAAAATCGCCACCAATGCTTGAAAACAGCGTGTTCACTATTCTAGTCAACACTGAACAAATGTAGCACTGCATCACAAGTAAATTATGGTAGAGCGACTCAATTATGATTTACAAACTACGCAAAAGTGAAAGCTACTGACCTTAAATTATTCCCTTCCTTTGGATATCTTTCAACTGAGCAGAAAGAACCATATCACATTTTACCCATTCCTGAATGAGAGTCACTTCGATATCTCAATAATCCAAGTTGAAAATGTAAATCAGGCAGCGGTTTCCATCGATCAAATCTTTTTATACGAAGGTAATTAAAACAGAACAAAGAACAGTGGACACGGCGCAAATCTACTACAAACACTTATATTGTGGTATGCATAAATAGCACAACGAAGGAGGCCGACAGCTCTTAGGAACCTGAGGTATTTATGACACGAAAGAGCTTAACAGGTGTTATTTGTCAATTGATTTTCATAATTGAAAATGGTAATACAGTTCTTTCAATTGATAGGTTCAATTACGATCAATTAAATCAGCCCCAAATCTAGAAAAGTACGGCCGCGGTTTTTAGAGTCGCCGGCGGTTACGTCATCGCTCTCTTAAGACCGATTACCCAAAGGAGAAACTTAAGTCTGGCGTTTGTTCGTCTGAGAATAATTCTGAGATCTTGTATTTGTACGATCACTATAAACTTCCTCGATATACCAACTCGAATGAGATTTGTTGTTTGAGCTTTGTGATGACCGATAAAAAATGTTTTTTCACGTGGTATCACACGCCCTTGATCTGTTTTGTCTGCATGCAGTCCTGGGGTACTACAAACACTTAAAAAATATGTAATAGTCTATAAAATTCTCCGATACAACGACATTTTATTTAGGGGGAGCGGAGAGCAATATTTCATCAGAAACAATGATATTAGCTATTCGAATTCAGTGTGCAAACAATTTGCTTCTGTAGCCGAGGCACATGATCGTAGAACGGATTTAAAACTAAAATATTTTGACATAACGATTATACGTAAGTTCAAATATCTGATTCATAAACTTGATAAATTGTCACCGCTTACTTAATGACCTACCCCCACCCCCCCACCCCGCTCCACACCGCCCGCACCAGCACAACAAACCTAGCACACTTGGCATACTTCTCCAACCCTTTTACATAAAACACGTGATTCTGCTACACGTTGACGTAAAGACAAACCGTGTAATGACAAAGGGCACGGTGAACCAATTGTAATCGAATTCACGGTGTCAACAAATCGCTTCTGGAGCCGTGGCACATGTACGTAGAACGGATTTAAAACTAAAATATTTTAACAAAACTATTATACGTAATTTAAAATATCCGTTTCCTAAACCTAAAAAATTGTCACCCCTTACTTAAAAACCCCCCCCCCCCCCACCCACCCACCCACACAAACAAACACTAAAATAATCGAGAAGCTTTTTAATGCGACGCGCGTTACCTTAAATCGTCATTTGTCATTACAACAATTCACGGCCATTACGCACAATTGAAGTCAGCTGAAGTGACAAAATATAATTTTTTTTGTACCTTTTGTCCAGCGGTTCCTCCAGTTGCCGTTAGGTCCTGGGGTCGAGTTTAGTTACCGGATATCTATACATTGTATTCGGTCCTTCGGAAAAAGGGAATGAGGAATAGAACCGGATAAATTCAATAGCCCTGCCACCCCCCCCCACCTCCTCCCCCGCTTAAGAAGCGCTACAGTTTGAACGGCGCGCTAGCTTTTCCCCTTTGTTCACACGTCAAAACGCTTTCTAGCCTGGCTGACTGTCCATTGGCAGTAAAATCTGGAAACTATCCTGTAGTAATCTTTATATACAGAGCCGGGGGTAGTACTAGTGTAGCCGTGTCGTGAAAAAAAGAACTATCACACGTACACAAGCTACAAATGACGTTATATTTCTTCTCTTGGAATCGATAAAATCCGAAATTAATAAAGTTATCTTTGACTGATCATTAATTGTAAGACGCTGCTGAGAGAATCAGTCAGTGTCGGAGTAAAACCGGCTACTACTTGTTATAGGATTACATTGTTTCTGTCGGAGCAAGTTCAGAATGCTTTGATTTAATATGATTTAACAATCCTCTATATCGCACAAAGCTCCTCCCACAATGTCGGCATTTGTGCACTGTATCTTCATTCTCATGTAGCTTTACATGTTTCTTCATGTTGCTAGGATCACTGAACGACTTATCGCAAACTTTACAGCGGAGAGGCTTGAATCCTGTATGCGTGCGCATGTGAATTTTCAACACGTATTTTCTGCAGTATACCTTGCCGCAGTACTCGCATGTGAAGCCTTTATTACGTGAGGAGGTCTGGAAAGACTTAACAGGTTGATGCGTCAGAAAAGGAAGCATGCGCGGATAGGGGGAGTAACGATACATTGAGTCCAACAAAAACGCGGGCTCGTAATACCTTGAGACATGTCCCTTTGGTTCGTACAGTGTTGGCGTAGAGTAACAGGGACAGTGTGAGTGCTGTCGGTATGAAATTTGGTCTTCTGTTTGAAGTCTCTGGTAAATAAAGAATGATTCAAAACCATTGAGATGTGTCTGGACAGGATCATTCAAATTACATTTTTCATCTTCCTCCATAGCAACGTCTTGTACTGCATACATCCTTTTAAATGCGGTTGGGGATTTTGGAGTACCGCGTGCGTTGTCATGCTCGTTACATGTGCATTTGCGAACAGTTTCACGTGATAATAGTTCCTCGTCCACATGTTGGGATTTTTGGGTTTTAATAGTAGGATAGCTATCAGTGATGAAAGTCGCGTCATTTTCTGTTGAGCCTGATACTGCACAATAAGTTCTCAAAGAGTCACTCGATAGCAAATTTTCTCTATGATCGTCCTGTTTTTTTGCGTCAACTGTTTTTATACGTCTATACATTTCATGAGTTGGTGACGAAGACATGGCGCCGCCAGCTAACTTGTAGTCTTTACGAAAGCAGTTTATGTATTCCTCTCTTTCCTCTTGGATCTCAATTTCGTCCTGATCGCCATGGATGCCAGAATAATTGAAGGTTTCTTTCAGAGTCTGTGGGCGTCGATAATTCATTGCGCCTTTCGTCCCCATGTTTTCGCGGTAAAGATGCCTTCGGAGGTAGTGCTCATTACCCTGGAATTTCTTTCGGAACTCCTGTTTGTGGTATTCAGCTAATGACTGAGACTCGTTAGTTAACCGCTTACGTAATCGAGGGCGGGAGAAGCTTGAAATAAGGCTGGCTAGTCTTGGGTTCGATAAGACGCGACTGTTACCGACTGTTTCCGAAAATTCTATGTTTGTACTCGGAACATCTTCGTTGAGTGACTTCTTAACCTCGATTTCAATTCCGTGCTGTTGTTTTTCTTCCAGTTGGTCATGTGAATGATTTGTCTCAACATCATTTGCTGATGCTAAACCATCGTCTTTCACTTCACCTTCACACTGGGGAAACGAACCAGAACCACGTTTTTCACAGCCAAAAGCTGTGTGCACAGAAAATGCACGTGAATATTGAAAGCTTTCCTGGCAAATCTGGCAGACCAAATAAGACTCTAGAACAAGGAAATTAGAGAATAAAAGCTCTTTAAGCCAAATTGTCTCATGACAGAGAATCTTTGGGCTCAAGGAAATTAATGCATGGGTCCTCTGAGAAATTCCTTTAAAAAGTTATGAATGGTGTACATTTTGAAGTTTAACGCATATCGAAAAAAGGAATCTAAAATTTTATGCAAATGCTCATCAGACAATATGCAAATCAAGTCACGTGAGCTATTAAAGCAAGGTTACATGAAAAAAAGAAAACTTAAACTAACATCAGTTTATAAAAACAGTCATTCAAACAAATGGTTAGCAAACACGTCCCCGCGTCAAAAAAATCTGTGTCACGATCTTGAATATTTTGTTGACAATGTAAAACAACCGGTGTTTTTTCTAGTATCCAATACCCTTATCTTACAAGTTTCGAGTTGTTCACTTTCTAAATAATTAACTTAAAAGGCTCAGCCACAAAAATAATATACCCATTAGTCTCAACATCATGTCGCTAATTAAAAGTAGTGCCATTTTGCCAAAAAGCATTTTGGACTCTGAAATAGTCGGCTTAATATTTCACTTGTCTTTAACTGACTCCAATCATCATTCGAAGTTTTTGAGCCAATACCTACAGGGTTTGTGCTTTTAATTTGAAAAATGCACAAACCTCTGTTTTTAAAAGAAGTGAAAAGGAGACCAACACCTTAATTTTCTTGAGGACGATTGCAGTGTTTAGTTTATTTTCTGTAGGAAAGAGACTCCAAGAATACTGAATAATTTCCTCGTCGCGTCAGTATTCGCTAATTGACTATTTTCCAATTGCCCATAATACACTCTGTTTGCCCCCCAAATTTTGCATAACTTATTGTCTTAAAATGCTCTTGGGAAAATGCAATACTCCCAGCAGCATTTAAAAACAATGGTTTATGCAGAATTTGGGGGGCAAACAGAGTGTATTATGGGCAATTGGAAAATAGAGAATTTTTGTTGTCAGTAATTATAGAGAAAAGATAGGTCCACCTGATTGCGAACTCCTGTCAAGTGATAAAGATTTTCTTCGTAGACTGAGGAAGATTTTAGTGAACTAATCGTCTGTTGTGCAATAGAACATAGTATTTCAATTAACCCGATAGCATAACAGCAAAAGACTAACTTTAAAATGGTGCACATGTAGTTGGAGTAAAAAGTGCCTAAAAAATTATTTGTTAAAACCAGAAGTTCATAAGGCGGTTTATGAGTTTCTGCTAAAACTGAACTCACCTTTCTGCATTTGGCCTGGTTTTGGTGTACATAGTCCGCATTCTTTTACTAATGATGGTCCTAGCCAAAATCTTAATTCTTCGCCAGCCGTAATGTCCCTTGTGGATCTGAAGTAAATTTTATCGTCTGTCGATCGAATCGCCTCCATGTTCTGTTCTTCTTCGGAGAGAGCTGGCCTGGCTTTTTGCATCCAGGAAATATCGTCCTGCTGCAAAGAATCGTATTCAGTGACCGAGTCTTTTTCTTCTGGATCCTGCAATACAAATATGAAAGAATTATATGAACGCAAGAAATCGAAAGGCAAAACGAGTTTTGTATGGTGCGACTTTTTCAAACCAAATAACTAAGTACTTTAATTTTGCTCTTATGAAGCCTTTCTCGTTCCAAGTCGTACTCTTCCTTAATAATCAACATCAATGCAGTTGTCATCACCAAATAATGCGAACTAACGTTGTCAGCACCGTTCAGCTAACTTGATTTTGCTGGAGAGCTGACAGCCATGGACTGGAGTTAATCATCAGTATATTTTCGTTAATTTTAACTATGTACGATGCAACAAAGTATAGATTTTCTGGTTCATGAATTAGCCCCACATCATTTTTCTTCTCCGGTGTGAGAAACTAACGGCGAAAAAGTCTGATTGACTAGCTCACTTGGCCTCTTGAAAATGTAAACCGTTCCCAGCAACGAAAGAGAGATAGGCAAAAATAGACTGAGGTTTCCTACCATATTTAACTATAGGCGACTACTTAGTCTCCATGTCAGTAAATGTTTTGATCATCTGAAAATAGTCGAGAAACGCTAACATAATTTGTTCCTGGATCGACTTCAAAGCTTTTGCTTCGAAATGATGCCCTCTGATAAATTCCTAGTTATATACCTCTGATAGCACAAAATCAAGTCATTTTTTTCTCGCTTTTAGCAATGAAGAAGGCCGGAAAACATTGCTTTTACGTTCAAGCTGCTGAAAATCTTTTGATAATGGAGAGCAGAGAAATCATACGGCGATCGTAAGTCTCAAGAATGTTTTCTACGAATGTGTTACCACCGCTTCAGTATTTTTATTCTTTGTACATATGCACTTCCGAGGTGATCAATCATGGATGCTATATCGAGTGGTAAAACAACGAAGTGTTTCAAGTATCACAACAAAAGCATTTGACTCTTCAGGAAATGTATGGTTCAATTTTTATCACAGACTGAGCTACTAAATCATCTTTTAAGTGCATGAAAGTTTTCCTGTCCGTTCTCCCCGGCAGTAAGAAAGTGCTTTGTTCAGTTTTACGTTTGAGAGAAAGGTGGGTGAAAATACGGCAATTAAAGTTAAATTATGAGGTATAAGGAACATGGTTTTTGAGGCCGACAGCATTAGGTACTTAGGATTTTATCATACTAATTTGAATGCGCGAAAACTTCCTACACTAAGATACTGTGTGGGTTATGCTGCAATTTTATTTCAAATTGAGACTAAGGAAGTGCAAACGGATCGGCAGGTGTGTCGTAAAGAAACCACAGTTTCTAAACGTTTTCTCTGTGAGGAAAACCTTTGATAGGCATTCTTACGTAGTAGAACTGAATTCTTCTTTTTGCCAAATGTTAACGGATATAGCGTTTTACGTCAGTGTAAGTAGAAACTGTTTGATTCCCTTCATTGATTTAACAGAGTCCACTCTAATGGCATTACCTGTAATATTCCTTGTAAATCTACTCCGGTTAGTAACGTCTGCGAACTGAAGCAGCGCCGAGATCGTTGTTCTGTGCTCCCGACAATTGCCCCCGGCGACGGACTTAATGAATTACGTGAGAGCGTTTCCATCCCTTTAACCTGATTGGCTAATCGTACAGTGGCTTTTTTAACAGGCGGCCAATCAAGGCGCGTACTCAAAATCCTGGTACACAGCTGGTGGCGCAGAAGGGGAATTTCGGCCCTAGTTCGCCGACAGACTTGAAGACGCTATTGTCACGAGGATATTGTAGTCTAATGTCAATGAATTCTGTGCTGAAGTCCGCATTACTTTGCTAACTTAACCCATATAGAAAATGCTGTTGTAGAGATATAGAGAAAATATCAGCCAAATTTCACCAGGGAGCTCTAACTATGATGCTTTTGAGTGTTTTTTTTTTTTTGCAGGGATAGCATTAAAACTTTAACGCGGATGGCCCAACATTTTCACCGTTCATCTTAGCCTTGCCATCCCAAGCCAACAGACAAAGGGAAAAAATTGTAATGCCTAAATATTGGCTTAAATAGCAAAACTAAGCCATTAATTTTTGAATTCAGTAAATGCGAAAATAGTTTTAACTTTTTAAAACTGAGAAAAGATAGCAAATTAAGCTCCACATTTCCCCTTTAACCAGACGTTTAACTTTGTCTGTGGCGCAGGCTTTGTTTTTTGATGGATTAGCAAATTCAAATTTTTTTTCTTATTTATTGAGATGAACATAGAAAACGAGCGAAAATTTGACTAATTTTTAAGCCATTTGTATGTCTTCAAGTCGCAATCACTATGTTTTGATCAGAATGTGAAATGATTCACGTATTTTGAAGTTTATTACAGAAATTCAATTCAAGCTCTTGCATGTTCAGTATAGCTATGGACTGAGAAGACTCAGATAATAAAAGTTTATCAGGCCCGATCAAAACACCAAAAAAGGGAAAACATGTTAAAAAAGAAGTGAGTGACCCATCATTGTTAAAATGTAAACGAAGAAACGTCAATAACTTTAAAATAAATGAAAGAACCCTATTTAATGAAATGGTTAAAAACCTCTCCAGGAAAATATGGAATCGAATTATTGTTTAAAAGTAGATAGGTTAAGATTTTGAAACCAGCAGTGTCACTTAAGTCAACAAAATTCTCACCTACAAAAAATATGTTAAAAAATGATAAACACGGAGGATTACAAAATGTGTACCGTTGACGCTTAATATTTCACCAAGACAATGAGGAAAGAAATGGACGATTGTAAACGAGGCGTCTGTATTGCATTTAATTAGACATGTCATTTTTAGTTTTTCATTCGATTTCGTTAGAAAGGAATCTCCCTAAAGATGAATAGGGTTCCTTATAAGCTTGATTTAATTTCAGGTCTGTCAGTTCACGACATACGTATGTTTAACCAATGTTACAAAGAGTTCTTTTTATCGACTTGGAAATACACACAATCGTTAATTAGTTGTAGCTAATTTTTCTCTGAAAATATCTTTTAATCATCGCAAAGGAATCTTTTTAAATTCACGTTTGCTACGTTCTTAAGTTCGACTAAAATCTCTGATGCCTAATTTTACATTACCTCGTATTTTCTTTCTGTCTTTTCCTCGATGTGGTTTAACTTGTTCAGGTCTATATTCTTGTAACCTTTTTCTTTTTGTAGCTGTAAGAATTTGAAGAGTTACCTTCTGTGAGAAATCTGTCTGTATTAGCTGAAAGCTACAATTCGTGTCCAGGGACAATAGCATCCTTAAAACCACGGAGTGTTTTGCGTATCCGTCCTCTTCAGGAGCTTTTCTAATTTTCATGGCGCGAAAATCAGTCCAAGCTCTTTATGCATTTTTCATTTAGTGGCAAATGACAATATGTTAGCCAGATCGTAAGTGTCTTAAATAAACACCACTTAAAATCAGCATTGTAAAGGTGTAAAATGCTTTGATATATTGATTGTGGAGTCTACCAACTAATGTACTCTTGCTGTTTGCCAAATGTTTGATTCTCAAACCTGATCTTCAGTTGTCACAAAGCAACTTGATTTTGATTCTTTTAACACGTGCCTTGTACACACTCACTCCTAAGGAAGACTGGATCGAAAATGGACAACATTGTAACTGGAGGCCTAATATTTCTTGTGTTTCTCAAAATTTTACAATAAATTTTTATTTGTTGTGTGTTTTTGTCTGTTTTATTCTACTTTTTGTCGTACATCGTTTTAACAACGACGTTTCCACAATATACGGTATTTTATTATGTTGTTTGGTGTTATTTCATTTTAATTTCCTCTTCGTGCAGAAACAATCAACAGTTCATTCGAAAAACAAATCCTATCGACGCTATTGTAAAATCAAGCTTAACTTTCAGCTTATTCTCTATCGTTTTCGTTTCGTTTTCTTTAACGATGACAAAGGTATAAATCATATTGAAAATAGACAGAACATTTTCATGAAGATGAATATTATTACTAGAAGATGAGAACTTGACATATGTTTTCAAGTTGTGTTGAGTATGTTGGCTATTAAACCTTGACTCAAACTTCATTAACACCTTGTAAATAGACCTCCATTTATCCCGGAACAACTTTGGTTTCAATCTTAAGGTCTTACTAACAGCAAAGAAAAAAGTTACACTTCCCCTTGTCAATTATTCGAGTTGATTGACCGTCCGTTGAGATGAGATGGGCAAAGTTAAATTCATTATTGAGCAGAAAGAAAGTTGATTTCAGTCTGAGGATGAACAAAGTCTTGATGCAGCAAAATGAAGGCCTCGTACAACATTGTTCTTCTTGAAAGAGTAAATATTAAACCACGCAGTGAATGGAAAGTAAACCTACTCGAGTGCCGTTGACTTTTTGGCGCTATTTGTGCTAACAAGTCTTCGAGGAACGTAAAAAATGGCTCCCAAACTAATTGTAGCAGTTTATAAGTCATTTACGGAAGAAAATATCATACTGGAAACATTAAAGGCAGAACCATGAAAATTTTTTTTAGGAATGAATACTCCATAGTGACATTATAGAGAATTTGTCTGTACATTTTTCTAAAGAATTTGAATTGAAACTAAAGAATTTGATTTGTCTAAAGACGTCGGAATCGCGGGTATCTGATCAGGTTCGTTCGCGCCGCGGAGGCTAGCTTAAAATATCAAGTAATATGCTCTTTGTCTACCCATCCCAGCAATTTGGCGTTATATGCTAGTTTTCCCACTTCTCTAGTAAAATATTCGGATATTCAAAAGCAGCTTGTTCGTGCGCACTCGGAAAAACAATTCTCGTACATTTTAATGCGTCTAAACGATCTATGGCCCAAACAGTTCTTGAAAATGAAAATTTGACTTAACTGTTTTTATTCAGCTGAGAAGATCATGAAAAAGTTACCCTCATTCTTTCAACTATAATACTGAAGGGAAAAATTAAAGCACTCCGTTTTTAGCTTAATTACAAACCTGTTACAGATTGATTATTATTAGGTCAAAAATAAGTAGCTGAACTAGTTCTTATTCATCTTCTTAATTTGGTTTCCTCACTGCGCATTCGGACTAAAATCAGAAGTATCAAACACATTTCATTTCCGCGACCTTAATACATAGTCGTGGCAAAACTCCCGATAGATTAAAATAATAATGAGTTTTTTTCTCAATTTCTCGTTTAATTGCTGTCATGCCCCTACTAAAAAAATAATCAGTTCGAGCTGTACTTAAATATAACCTTAAAAATGGTAGTGAGGTTTTTCATCTCATGTCCACTTTTAACCGACTTCACGTTTGTCGCACGAGTTATGCTTTTCAATTCGTGCGACTTCGTTACTTTTACTATTTTTCATTTTATTTGAATTGTGCATGAAACTTTCCGTTTCTCTGTACTTAGCTTTTCAAAGCCATGAAAACACAGTCAGATATCCCTAACGTTTTGAGCAAAAAAATACAAGAAAACCTTGAGGCAGTCCTGAAATAAATTTTTCGTTAACTGTTATCTGTAGATGTAACTTGGCTCTATCTGGAAGTATACTCGGTGATATGAGAATGATGGATAAAGACTTTTAATTATTTTATTCAAAAGGTCCGGATAAGAGAGATTTCCAAAAAGGGACTCGGAGTGTTTTTGCATATGTTTAGCTTTCATGTAGTAATTCGGAGAGATGTTTGTAACTTACGTGAATCATAAAAAGTTCAGTCGATTTTTGAGGAACAAGCTTTGAAGAATAAACTCAGCCTTAACAGTATATCACTGATTGAGGTTATCCCGTAATTTGTATTCTGACTGTTGTTCTTAGTTGCAAAGAGAATAATACCCCAATTTATAAAACTAAATCAGGATAAAAACCTAAAGATTAACTCAAATCATCTGGGATTTTTGTCTTTTTTTGTGTATCTATACATCAGGATTATTGATAAAGAAATTAAAATCGCAAAATCTCAGAGGTAAGTAACACTGTGCAATTGATCTTATTTTTGCTTTAAAAGCTTCGCGTTCCGTTTTTTCCCCTGCTGTTAAAGTAGGGTTAATATGGTCCTAAATCTAATAACCATGAAATTTCTAACTTACCTCCAAAGGCGCACTAGATCTTTCTAGGTACTGAATTCTTTTAATCAGTATGGTGAAGTCACCATTAAACGGTCCGAAAAAATTATTTTCGGCGATAAAGCTCATAGCCCACACTCGACTTTCGTTCTTCGCGAATAGAATTTTAAACATCTTGATCTTTGCGGCCAAGAAGGATTTAACTGAGATATTTCTTACTCTGAAACTTTCAGAATTCAGTAGAATCTGAAGAGTATAGATGATTCTAAAAAGTCACTGAAGGTAGAAAGGGGAGATGTTTCATCCCTTGAAGAGAAATAATTATAAGATAACTACTTGATTCACAGAAGACGCCAAAGAAATGACAATTTGTTGATACTTGACTGGGTTTTATTTTTGCGTTTGAATGTGGGAACGCGTGCCTGTTTCACATCTGTTGATTTAATAGGTTTTAGTCCTTTAATACATTGTTTAGATAAAATACCTTTGTTCTTCATTTTTTTAAAAGTATCTATTATTGCCACTAGAGGCTTTTAAATACATGTCTACAAGAGACATCTGTAAAAGTCCAATGAATCAAATTTAACCCAAGTCACTAATTAAACCAAATTGAGACCAGCTTTTCGCCGCGTGTGGAGCTGTTTATTGAAGATCTCTATTGTTACTTATGCATTCATTAGTTTTTTTGCTGCTTTTCCTCGGTTTTAGGATATCTTAAAACATTTTGAATCCATATGGTTAAATTCCCATGTATGAAAATTGTTACTCAGATTTTTTCTTTCCCAGGGACATTAAATATATTGTTATCATAATTATGAGACTACTTTGCGGCTTCTTGCAATATTTAAAAAATATATAAAGTTAATATAAATATAAAAAAAAAAAAATTGATGTCTTGAGATGTAGTGCTAAGTCCTTTTTTCGTAATAAATTCATAAGTGTTTTGCCTTGTACAACGCTGAAATTAAAATCCATTCTTGGTTGTCACAGGAAGTTAAGCGGCGCTGCCGCAATTAATCGTAATTTGTTGGTAACTCCTCGTGAGAATTCGCCAAATGGTTCGTTGCTCAGTGTAGGCTTAATGTTACGAGGTCAGGATTTTAAGTCCAGACTTTACACCTACTTTATTCGTCCAAAGAAGTAAAGAAATGTAAAAATGAAAGAAAGAAATCGAATATGGAGGCATATTGTCATTTCAAATAGTGTTTTTTAAAGAGACACTCAAGTTTATTTTGATTCAAAGGGTTTAACTCAACGTCTCCTTCTTTTAGTCCTGGTGTAAGGTTGGTGATCATTATCTTTCATCATAAATATAAATACTTCGAACTGAAACTGTACAATTTGGGCTTGAGATATCTCGATCCTTCAAAGCCACGAGTTTTCTGTATACCTAAAAAAAATCACTCCCTTGAAATGTCCGTACAATACTAAAAAAATGTTATTGCCATTTAGTTCAGAAGTTAGGGTAGAAAACTAATTAACGGACGGCGAGCCTGAGCTGACTTAAGGAATCCGAGTAAACATTTAAGGGTTTAAGATTAGGAAATGTAGACAGCTTAACTGCATGCGCCAGAAGTACAGTATCTATTCATTTATACTGGAAGTTGCGGGGAAACGGGATAGTCTATTTCGAATTTTTAATCCACCCAACAAAGGGTTTTATTGAGTGGTTAAACGTCGTCACATGACAGACAGCTTTTGAATTTCTCAGTTCCATTTTGTATCACGATAGCCCGTGAATCTTCAGTACTGACACAAAATATAAACTATCAGTGGAGAGAATTCTTTTAACTCTCCGACTCCCTTTCCAGGGGCGGATCGTACCCAGAAAATTCAGAAACGGGTGCATAGATACTTTTTATTTTACTGAGAATTCTTTAAAAAAGATACAAAATTTTTTAGGTCCCCTTGGCCAACCTCTTAATCCACGCGTGCCCTCGAACAAAAATCGCGTCGATCATGTTTAAAGGTCATTTTTTGATCCTGTGAATTTCAGGCCGAATCAAGCTTCCTTCAATTCGGTCGTAATCTCATCTCAGTTTTCATCTCTCTCCGAACTGACCACAAAAGAAAGCTCAGCTCCTCCCTGCCTGACCGGCTCACACATAACTTAAACGTTTTTATTCAGCTGATGTGTGACTCCTACTGTACCCAACGTATAATGACCAAATGTAATTGAAGTATCGTAATAATTACATGAAAGTGTTAAAAAACTCTCCCTTCTTAACTTTCTTTTATAGTAAGGACTTCACAGAGTAAACCTCCGTAGAATTCGAGTTATCTTAATGCACTTACAGAATTCTTTTACATATGTGCATTTATTTTTCCGGTTCAACCAATTTAATATATATTTTTGTGCCTCCACATTGGACTCTGTTGAATAGATTTTCTATTTTGCATCCCTTTAAACTGCTGTCAATGCACATTTTTAAATATGAATAAATCACAGAACTACAAAATATTTTCGACTTTTTCACAGCGATAAAATTCTTCTGTAGCCCCCTTTTAGGTTATTTAAAGACCAAAATGACAGATTTTCCCCTACCCCTTCATATACTTCAACTAGTGGAAATCCGTATCCTTTCATATACCTGAAGCCTGAAAAAGGAACCCATTTCTATATATATAGCCGAACCTCCTGGTATAGGTCGTACCATTATCGCTCTTGGTCGTACAGGCTATTATAGGGGATACCCCCCCCTCCCCTGGATTGAAATGCCATTTTTCGGCAAAATTTCCGACTGCAAATTGAATCCCTCGCTTGGGTTTATAGATACATTATGCCAGCGTATTTTTGGGCATAATGCTATAGTCGGAGCATCCCGGTAATGTAAACTATAACCTGAGATCAGGCGTTATTTTATTTTTTAATTTTTTTTTGCTTCTTTGCATGATCTCAGGCTATGTAAACTAAGGCTTGAAAAACCACGGCAAAAACTGTGAACGATCGATGTAGCTAAACGTTGGATCAAACAAGATCGTGATCAGTCGAAAAAGGTAAAAA